CCTTCTGATTGCGTTTTCCAGCGTGATCTCCAGCACTCACCGCATCTCTCTCATGGTCCATGATCGTAACATCAAGATTTTCAATATGTGTCTAGCCCTTTGGATCTATAGATAAGCACTCATAGGTGTAGCATGAATTTTTGCTAGGAGCACCTATTTTTATCTTTTCATTATGCCCCAACATATTAGGCTCACCACTCGTGCATTCAATTAGATTTATCGATGTATATATATATATATATATATATATATATATATATATATATATATATATATATTATTTGCATTGAGGAAATCAAGAAATATAATAGTACGGGAAAATATATTTTTTCTCAAAAGAAAAAAAAAAGAAGAAGATAAAATGGCATTGAGGAAATATTAGTTTTGATAAAATATATTTCTATTGCCACTCTCAATAATATATAAAAAAAAAAATGTCCGCTTGGTTTCGGGATGGTAAGTTGTTGAAAAGCCTAAGATCGAGTATTGCAGCCATACTCAGTGGCGGAGCCAGGAATTCGAATCAGGATGGGTTTAGAATTTACGGGGTTTAGTGGCAGCGCTCCCGATTTTTTTTTCCCGATTATTTCACATAAAGTAATATTAATTCTTAAAATTTCAATTTGGGCTTTGTGGTGGGTGGGCTAAATTAAATATCTGAGTAGGATATAAATATGTGGGCTATATATATATGTATAAAATATTGAATTCCACAGTGGGCTGGAGCCCACTCTTGCCAAAGGGTGGCTCCGCCACTTGCCATACTGTGAGAGCTTCAACTCCAATAAGAATTGGTTTCTTGTGGGCACCAGTCTCATCAGATCGGCAACATTCCTCCATAAAAAATCACTCGCCTCTTTTTAGGTGTAAAAAGAAAAAAAGAAATTGCCAGCAAGTATTATCTACCGACACTTTCAAGTTCGAACTGATCGAAATTATCTCAAATGACTAATATAACTAGTGTTCCAAACTATGAAATATTCAAAATTGGAATCGGCAGAATTCAAAATTTCTATTCCAATTTCGAATTCCTGGATGTCGGAGATTTGCCTCTCACTATTATCGGAACTCTACTTTTCTAACTAAGATCATATGTACATTGGTTGTATCTCATTTTGGTTCTAAATTATGACTTATAAGTTTTTTGAAATGGAAAATTGTGTATATTTTCACTTGTTCGGGATTCTTATCATCTTTTACGTTGATGGAAATATATTTTAATATTTTGATGGTATTATTGCACTCCATTATTTCTTTACAGTTATTTGATGAATGCTTTAATATATTGCTAAATTTAATGTGCATGTTAATTTAAATCTGATGAAAATGAAAAATATTAAATTAATAATATTTTTTTTTTCAATATCATGTAATTTTTTCTAACAGTTATATCCGTTAGAAATATA